CCGCCTTTCGCCTTCTTCCCGGATTCGTTCCGCTAGAGGGTTAGCAGACTCAACCGGGGGACCCGAATCAAGCCCGCTCCTACCGCCAGCCGGAGGTTCCGAACTGGGGAGGCCGGTACCCAAAAGAGGGCCACCGTACCCTCTTCGCGGTGACGTTTCCGGTCGTCCGGCGTCCGGCGAGGATCGTGGAGAGATTCGTGGAGAAGTGCCTCTTCTTCGTCGTGGAGTACTTGGAGTGTTGGATCTCTTTGATGTTCGTTCCGATGATTGTCTGGAAGTGGATCTGAGGCGTGAAACTTGACTCATCTTCGAGTTTCCATCTTCACGCAGTACGCTCAAACCACTTCTGGTTCGTGCGGGTGCCTTCGCAACCGCGACCAGCTCAACGGCATCATCTGATGATGTAACCGCATCTGTGTCGGCGCAGCCTGTGCTTTCGCCCAATGCAGGTGCAGCAATAGCATCACCATCACCGAAGGTCATGGTTGTGTCGGCACTCGACGACGAGGTTGGCAGTGCCATAGCTCAGCCCGTACAGTAGTCGCAAGTCGCAACCGCTATACGGCTGATAACCTGCGTGAGGTCGGGTAGTTGCTTGCACTACGCTTTGGCTCCTCACCAGCCAAATGGTCTCGCACTTGTTTTCTGCACTGATGTTCGCCTTCAGTCTCCGTCTCGTGCACCCGGGCGGTTTTCAGTTACGCTATTGCGCTTACTTCCAACCTATGGGTGACCTTCACTCTAGGGGTTACTTGAATCTTGAGCCAAATGTGGTGAACAGGCCACGGCGTTCTAAGGTGGTTTCCCCGATGTGCGGCGGAGCCGACACAAAGGGGTTCCCAAAATGTGCTGTGGTTCGGGGATCATTCACAGGCCCCCCTCGAACCTAGATTGCAAAAGGCTGGGCACATGCCTGCGTGAAAATTGCGTGTGTGTTATTGCTTGAGAGGAATCTTTAATCCCAAACACTGAATTGTGGATCTGGAATCTTGAATGCTGCATCTCAACCTCCATTCTTGAGCTTTTCGAAGCTCCAAGCCCTCACCACCCTCAGGTTCGAGCACAGCCCAAGTCGAGGAACTTGAAGCCCTTCTCTGGCACCAGATCCCTTTGGGCTCTGTGAGGTGTTCTGAGGGTCTTGGGGCGATTCGGGGCTCCCTGGTGAGTTTGAGGACGACAAGGCCCTAAACCACAATCCAGGTCGCAGGAACGGGGGGGGGGGGGGGTTCTTGGGTGAGAAGATGCTCCGGGCCTTGACTTTAGTTTTTTCATGTTCATCCGCAGCGAAGCACAAGTACCGAGAACAACGCCTTTGCTTGCTTGAGCATCGACCCTCGGCGAAACGAGCCCTTGTACACCGTGCAAACACCAACGTTGCAGGGACAACTCTCTACACTCTATTGCAGCCCCGGCTTTTTCTTTGAGGGCAACAAGGTTGGGGCTTCTCAAGGACGCATGGTCCGAGTGTAACGATTCTAGACCCAAGAGTAACCTGGGTACCCTTGATGGTCTAAAGGGCCTTAGAAGGGAACGCAAACCTTAAACGAAAGGGAAGGCCTACTCTGGGTCATAGGATTGGCGCTCGGAGCTTCAGGGTTTGAGCTTGGAGGGGGTAACCGTCAGATCCTGAGTCTGAGGTGTTCGTGGAACCCCAGCCTCAGGTAGTTGTGCGCTTCAAACAACTCGCCCATCACGCCGTAGCACTTCTGAAAGTGCACCTGAAACCCCAGTCCTAAACCCTAAACCCTGAAACCCTAAACCTGCCAAGGGTCTCTGGGTGGTTTGAAGTCTTCGAAGATTGGGCTCGAGGGGTTTGGGTTCTTTCAGGGGCCTTGGGGCCTCCGCAAGCGTTAAAACAAGCCATAAAAAAAGAAACAGAAATGGCACATCGTCCGGGAATCTGGCATGAAGAAGAAAAAACTGAGCTTTTTTGGTGTGCTGCGAAAGTCGACCTTGAAGCTCATGGCAGGGTCTGCGCTATCAAGGATTTGGGGACCTAGCGGTACACCCCATCAGAGCCCCTCCGCAGGAGGTATTTTCACGAGGGCGTGTAAGGCTTCGAGTCTTGGGTTTAAGTGTAGCTCGAGGGTGAAGAGCGCAGGGTCAGGATGCCGGTGCTGGGCTTCGGGCTGTATGTCTTGAAGCCACCATGCCGCTGTGTTCCCTCAACCCTGAACCCTGAACCCTAAACCCTAAAGCCTAAACTCCGTGACCACTCTGACATCCGCGACCCGCTCAAAAGACCACACCTCGGTCTCGTAGTGGGCGTTCCGCTGCTTGTACTCCTGGTCCATAGCGAGCTGGGCCTGAGAGCTCGCGTGCGTGCGTGCACTCTGTGGCCTGTGGCCCATACGGGGGTCTCCGATAATTGGTGCCTTATTGGGGTCCTTCTTGTATCATAAAGGGATCCTACTAGTTGGGGTCTCTATGAGCCAGCATTCACGCCACCCCCCCCCCCACCCCGCCCCATGGTCACACCCCCCTCTTTTCTGTGGTTCATGGTGGGTTTTGGGTTCCCCCCCCCCCCACCCCTGTGGTTCACGGTCTGTGGTTCATGGGTTTAGGGTGTAGGGTTAGGCTGTAGAGTTCAGGATTTTCACTCTGACCCCCTTGGTCCATTGGTCCATTGTTCACGGTGGGTTTAGAGTTTAGGATTCAAGGTTTGGGGTAATGGTAGGTTTACGGATTCCCCTCTCCCCCCTGTGGTTCTTGCTGGGTTTACGGTTCAGGGTTAAAGCGTTTAAGGTTTCGGGTTTACCCTTCTCCCCCTGTGGTTCAGTGGTGGGTCTAGGTTTTAGGGGGTTTGGGTTGAGTGAGGGTTTCCGTCTCCCCACCCGGTGGTCCGTGGTGTTTTTAGGGTTAACGGGCTTAACGGGCAGGGTTTGGGGGGGATGCCATGGGGGTGCGGGGGGATATACCATTGCGGGGGGGCGGCGGAACTCCCAATACTGTACTACACACGATTTGGGTGGCGCTGCTGCCACGAAGCTTTGGCACATGGAGCGGCTTAGTTCATGCTCATGGCCGAAACGGAACAAATTAAAACCGCGTGCCTTGCGGTCGACACTCACATCAACTGGACAAAAGCGCGCAGCGGTGATTCATTTCGCGTGTTGAACTTGGGCGTTTGTTGCTTTGACCCGTTTGCACATCTACTTCGCCAACAGGAATGGGCTCACAGCTTGGATGCTGACGACGCCCCCACGTTGGCAACATTTGCCACTTGGGGCCGAAACTCCTTGACATCACCTGGTTTGTTGATTCCGTGGTTCTCCGTGCGCGCACACCCATGCCCTCCTCCCTTTCTCGACATGGTGACTAAAAGGGTGACTTCACCCCTGCGATCGGTGTTGGGGTCAGCATACAGGTCTTGGCATCTAAGGGCTTGTGGACCTGGGCTCTCGTCCTCCGAAAGCCCTCGAAACACGATAGCTTGATTGCAGAAGCCTTTCGCCCTATCTCCCAAGAGCTGAACCGAGCTGGCCCTAGCTGAGCCAAACCCTTCAAGCCCCCCCTCCAGTCCCGAGCTCGGTCTCTGGCTGCATACTCCTCGTAGAGCGGCTGCTCCATGGCTCGGGAGAACTCAAAGAGACGGCTGAGGGTTTACAAGACACTTCCCATCAGAACGTCGGAGTGCCCAGTGAAGGGCCCTGGGATGCTCTCCGCCCTGAGGGCCAACCCAAATTCAGAGCGCAGCATGATGCGTACGTTGGGTGCGCGTGCGACGGGGTACGGGCTCGGCGTAGGGCTTTCTGCCGTCCCACAATGTCCCAACCCTTCCTTAATAACATCCGAATCCAGATTTAAACCAGCAATCGGCACTCTTCGTGCCTCCTGCAGAATAATACCCAGGAATGCTTGCAAATCGTGATGCCTTTGCATGGGTCATCTCTCTCGACACTATGGGGCTACAGCTGAAACCTTTTGCAGGAAAAGCCTGTGGAAGCGCACGCGATGCCGGCTGAGGTGCGGGACACTGGCTGGCAGGCAAGAGGACACAAAATGATATAGGGCCCGAAGAATTAGAATAGGGTTTTTGGGGGTTATTATAGTATAAGGGAAAATTATTAGCAATTATACCGACCCCTATATTGTGCAAATATACAACATTCAGTCTAAGTTCACTGCTAAGTGCCGCGCAGCGATCCCCGAAGTCGCTGCCTGGTAATACATGACCACAGAAATACCTTCCCTGGCAGGCCACAGGGCTTTTGCTTCTGAAGCTTGGGACGTTTTGGGGCTTTGGAACTTCAAGCGCTTCAGGCCTTAAAGCAGTGGGGTTTCGGGGCTTCACAGCATGATGGTTTCCATTTCAGGTCAGCATGCTGTGTACAGACACTCCAGACCTCAGCCACTCCAACAAGGCAACAGAACTCAGCCTGAAAGCTCCAAACTAGGACATGGGACCGGAAGCCGAACACCAGAGCTTGAAGTAATTTAAGGTGGGTTTAGGGTTTAGGGTTTAGGGTTTAGGGTTTAGGCTTAGGGTTTAGGGTTTAGGGAAGGCCGAATCTCCCCCCAGAAGTTTCATCTTGACCACGAAACCAAGAATCCCACGTCAGAACTCAGAAGCTGCTCAGCATCTCTCGCCTTTTTACGGTTGCCGGCAGGCAGTCTCCGTAGACATAGTGCGCCCCAGGGTAACTTTACTTTAAGGGGCTACCCTAAACCCCAAAGCCAGTGAGGCATGTGCACTCCCGGCGAACGTTCTGGGTTCCGGGTTCGGGCCTCGTGTTTTGGATTGCCTTACTCAACATCCGTCTCCTGCGATACTCTAAGTGTCCCTAGCAGCAAGCATCTATCATGCAGTTCCCAGATGACTCCTCGCGTGGCACAGACCTTGCTAAATGGGGGAGGGGGGGTGGGGGGGGGTGTCGGTTGCTGCACCTGAGCCTTAGATTCTGTCGAGTGCTTTGAAGGTCTGGGGTTCGGGGTTTGGCGTGCTTCCAGGTCCAATCCGCCTGCGAGGAGCCCGGCAGGAACCACGAACTCTACCTCATCTAGCTCCCAGGGTCGTCTCCTTCCGCTCTCCTTCTTCTGCGGCGGTGCTTCCGCCTCAGTGAGCATGGCGGGCCCATTCAGCCCGAAACCATGACATCCCCCAACCCCTCAAACCTCAAAGTGCTGCATACTAAAACATTCCAACAATCTTTTGCCATCTGTGACGTATCCCATCTGTGAGCTAAGGGTGCTTCCACAAGGCCAACCCTCGACGAATGAGCTGACACAGGAATGGTTTTGTTGCCTGAAATTCAACTGCATTGCTTGTCCAACCGTGTGTGTTGCTCCCCCCTTCCCCGCCTCCACCTCCTGTTGGTTGTTGCTCTTGATGGTTTTGCTGCGGTTTCTGTTGGCCCCACTCCCTCATGTGGATGGTGCCTCCCGATCCGTTGGCTGGTGTGCGCCCTCACCTTGCAGGAATGGATTTGCGTTTGTTCCCACGAGGGGTAGGAAATCATCTCCCCCACCAACCGACATACCATAGTTCTCTCCCTCCCCCTCTCACACTTGGGGCCATGCCTAAGAAAGGAAAATGTTGAGTAAGTGCAGGCAAAGTGACACGCGCGGACTCAGATTCATTTCGACGGATTTATGCCGGATGCTGTAGGCAGTGTGCTCGGCGCTCAAGCGCACTTGCGAACCATGATCAGCAGCATATACAACCAACCGTGGTTTTCAGGTCTGTACAGAAGAGGGTGGGCCTCTCTGTCCAAGTTTCTCTATACTGAACGTTTTGTCTGTGCGGGTCGGGCTATCACAGGAACTATCCGGTTCTCCACCTGTGCAAGTGCTAGACATTTCTTACATGTAAATCTTGGAAATTGTTAAACTAGCTGCATCTTCAAATGTGTTGTTCATCATGCCAATTACTATGGTTCCGATAATCTTTATTCTTGAAGTGCGGCACTCTGCCAGGCTCCCAACTCACCGTCCTCGCGGCTCTTGGACCTGTCCTTGTCCGGGTCCTCGCACTGCGGAAGCTGCAGAGCAATGGACTCTTTTTTGTGATCCTAGCTGCCTCACCTTGGAACGGTTTAGGGTTTAAGGTTTAGGGTTAGGGTTGAGGGTTTAGGGTTGAGGTTGAGGGTTGAAGGTCGAGGGTTTAGGGACACCAAACCTGAACAGAAGGAATCTCAACTGAAGCCCTAAACTTCCGGAGCCCTCAACTTCCCTTACACCCGGTGTGGCCACGGCCCTTTGGCCCTGTCTGGCCTTGTGCCGCCGTCTATGTCGCTTTCTTTCTGGCTCGGCTCCTTCGAAGAGTGGGGCTTCTGACGGCTCTCAAGTTCAGAGCTGAAGCTGAGAAGCCTGCTGCTGTTGTCTAGCATGAATCATCTCCTTGCAAAGACCGCAGTCCGGGTCATTTCAGATACAGGTTCTGTGCAGCCTGCAGCCGGTTTTTGCTTCAGTCACAAAGGCCCAAGAACCAAGAGACGCGATCTTGCAACTGCCGGTGCGCAGCTCACACAAGGCGTCTCAATCTCGAAATCATGAGGCTCCCAAGCTCTCTCTCTCTCAATTGTAACATCTACGGCTATTGTGAAGGGCCCCAATGCAAGCAAGCCCTGAACAGTTCCTACTAATTGCTTAAGAACCCCGAAAGAACAACTCATAAGGGCAATACAGGGATTATATGTTTTATTCTTTTGGGGTTCTGAAGCAAATAGTAGGTTCTCTTGCATATTCCATACGGCATGCGGGTCAGCAGTCCGTCTGTCGCGGCCGGTGCCTGACGCTGGGGCGGTATGGCCAGCTTTGGCACACCAGCTCTTGGTTGCTTTGGAGCTTTTGGGCTCTGAAGTGTGGGGCTGAGCATTAAAACAAAAAACAAACTGCTTAGGACTCGAGGCTTGTGGAGGAGTGCTCCAGGCTAGAGGCTGTGTGGGCAAGGGTTAGAGGGAATTGTCGAAGCGCGGAAGAAGGTGGGTTTGCTGTCTAGGTACGGTGTCAGACCCCTACACCCAGGGGTTTCCAGCGCAGGACCTCAGTTCAGGAGCGGGGGGACCAGAGTGCCATGGCAAACTCTACTCCGCCTGCACGTCCCCCGGCGGTGCATCCGCAGGCGCCTTACATGGGCCCTAAAACTCGGAAACCCACAACTCTCGAAGCCATGCCAAAACAGGAGTCTAGAGGATTGGGCCAGCTTTGAGTCACAGCATTTGCTGAAGTGCCTACGATGGTGCTGGGGATATCGGGGTTCTGAGCTGGCCTTTGTTGCTTGCAGGGTGTTGTGACATTGAACACTTTGGAGGCTGATGGGTTTTCTACGGCCGATCTATTGCCAAGATCTAACTTTTCAAGTTTGGTGTCCGAGAACAGCGAAGCTGATACGTCTGCGGAACCTAACGACGACTCGAGACTGACCGGCTCAAAGGCGGACAGCCATTCATTCCACGGCTCCGGCTGTCCACTGCGCACTCCCAATAACTAGAATCCCTATTTGTCAGCACAAGGCTCCAAACAGATTGTAAAAAATGCGTCGCGGCTGTTGCAACAAACGTCTTGGAGGGCAGAACGGCGTTTGAAGTTTCAAGGCTTGGCGCAGACTGCTCCGGGCTTCTAGACTCCTAGGATTCAAGTTATGCAAATACTGCTAATCCGCACCAAGCTTGCCAAATCTGCAAGGCTGCCGAAGACGCAAGTAACCTCGATTGCTGGGTATGCTGAGCTATAACTGTCGTTATAGCCCACCCGAAGTATGCCTCAACCCTAACATATTCCACAACCCGATGCCTACAGTGGCTTACACCCTCTATACTAACTTTGAGCGCTGTGATTTGGTGTGGGTGGTTTAGAGTTTGGGGTCCAGGGTCCAGGGCTCAGGGTTCAGGGTTTAGGGTTTGGGGTTGGGCGCAGCAAGGGGGGGCCTGGACGTCTCCCGGCGGGGCGTCCATCGGTGCCCCGTCTGCCTCGGGGGCCTGGCAAAGGGAGCGCAGGAGCGTGAAGGAGGCGGGGGCCTCGCTCTGGATTTAGCTAATTAAGGGCCTCGTTCATTAGAATATGGGGGGAGGCTAAATCGGCACAGTGCCGAGTTGTTCAACACCCTTCTGATCATGAACAGGAAGTGGGCTCCAGGCCTTTAGGGATTCAGAGCTTCACAGGTTCGAGATCTGAGGGTTTTGCAGCACTGGGGTTTGGGCGAAGAGCCAGCAGATCTCATTTGCGGCTCTTGGTTTTAGCTCAGGAATTAGGGAGACTGCGGCCACAATAGTTGCACTCGCCTTCGGCCCTCAATGCAAGTAGGGGGGGGGGGGGGTAGTTTTTGTACACAATCCAACCTGGGAATCAAAAACTCGCAAACCAGCGCGTCGGGTCTCGGGGCTTCGGGGACACTCCCCACCCCAGTCCCCACTGCAAGTCCCACCGAGACCTGCCTCTGCTCTTTCTGCTCTGCGGCGTTTTCGACCTTCGCCATCGCCTGTTTAGGAGGGGTTTTGTGAACCATAGCCCATCCTGGGTGCAGCTTTGCATCATTTCGGGTTTGGGGCTTGGGGTGTAGGCTTTGAGGCTTGAGGAGCTTAAGGAATACAAGGAGGGTTTGGTTGGGGGGGATGGTAACCGCAAGTCAACTATCAAACTCTGTTCAGCTTCGGATTACTGCGTAAGCGTTTGGGTTTTGGATTACTGCATAGTGGTTTGCTGTTGCGCTCAAGAGCTGGACCTGAAACTGAGCTTCAACCCCTCGTAAACGGTTGGGGCTTGCAGGGTCTAGGATTCACTGCAATTCTGTACACCCTAAACCCCAAAGCCCCAAACCCTAAACACCTAAACCCTAAACACCTAAACACCTAAACACCTAAACACCTAAACACCTAAACACCTAAACCCTAAACCCTAGACCGAGACCCTTTAGGACTTGCTGCCTAGTCGGGATTGGACACTTGGGCGACCCCCGCCTTCCTCTCCCCGGCGGTGTCGATGTCTACGCCGCCTGGCCCACGGGCGAGTCTACGGAAGTCTGGAAGGGTTTAGGTTTGAGGGTTTAAGGTGTAGGGTTTAGAGTTTAGGGTTTAGTGGTTTAGGGGTTTAGGGAAGATTAAACCCGAGTCAAGGGTTCAGGTTGATGGTTCGCAAGGCAAAACAGATTCAGATGTAGGTGGCCGAACGCAAGGACTTGTGTTGCATTGGTCTTCCGTGCGTCTGCACTCTAAGCTTTGCTACTTGGCGAAACTCTGGATCCAAAGCGCGTCCTCTCTGAAGTGTAAACTTTCGACCTCGTTTTGTGGTTCAGCATGGTTCCTTTTTTGTCTCCCTTGCACCTGGGCCACTCGCCCCTTCTCCCCTAAACCCCTAAACCCCTAAACCCCTCAACCCCTAAACACCTCAACCCCTAAACCCCTAAACCCCTCAACCCCTAAACCCCTAAACCCCTTCCTTGTCAGCTGAACTCAGGCCACTTGGGTGCAACATCCGATGAGGGGAGTCTTTGACGCAGCCCACAACTCTGAATCTGCAACTCTGACAGAACCCGGATACCAACTCCCAGAGAGCACAAAAGTTCCCTAAAGCCCTATGCCTATAAGCTTCTTTAGGCTACACTCATAGGGCCATATGGTCACTTCTCAAAGTGATGGTCCCCTTTTGGGTACCCTAGATACTGGTATGAAAGCAAAGGGGTCCATGATTCCGAGAAGTGACCGCCATACTCATTGTGCCCTGCCTGTGCCCCTCGCCCTCACCTTCCGCGGGCGCGCCTGCGGGGACTTCCGTTGTGCTGAGGCATTCACAGGCTTCTTAGAGGCCATTGGGGGCGCCAGAGCCCGCTGATTCTGCAACTTCGAGTGCGGCTAAGATCTTCAGGTTCGCAGCTGTAAAGATAGCACAAGACCAGAGGCACACGAACAAGCGGAACAAGTGCAGAACGGCCTGAGCCCAAACGTCAGACCCTCTCACAGAAGGCTTCGGAGACACACCCTAAACCCGAACCCCTAACCCCTAACCCCTAACCCCTAACCCCTAACCCCTAAACCCTCCCCAGGTCCGACTGCTCTTACCTCTATCCTCGAGCCTTGAAACCTTAAATCTCTAGGTCCCATAGATGCTCCAGCCCCCTGGCATCAAGTGGTCTCTTGTGTTTTTTTGGGTTTAGGCTCCTGGGGTTTAGGACGCGAAGGAAGCGCGCGCGGTTTGGGCCCTGAACTGGAGAGCTGAGCTTCGGACCATCCGGCGCAGCTCCTCCCACAGAGGGTTCCAAATTGGGAAGGGGGGGGGGCCAAGAACCCCAAGAACCCCAAGAACCCCAGGAACCCCAAGAACCCCAAGAACCCCGAGAACTCCGAGAACTCCAAGAACTCCAAGGTCCAACCCCGGCCGATCTCGGCAAACGTCGCTCTGGAACCCTAAAGCCCAAGCCCCTTAGAAGAGAAGAAGTTGCTGCGCCCCTTCTTCTTTTCTTGCTATCAAAGCTATGTAAGCTTGATCGGCTTTCGCGGTACAGCCCTGGGTCATATACAGAAGGCAGTATAGGGGCCCTGAATAATTAGAATAGGGTTTGGGGGTTAGTTAATACTATTCGTAAGTATTCCGAGCCCTACATTTGTGGGTTGGGTGTTTTTGCAGCTCTGATCCTCAACCCTGAGTCTCCTCAACGTGTTCTGTCCCCGTTCCCTCGATCCTTTGTACAGCCACTTGAATGCTTCCCAACCCCCCCCCCCTCCAGAAAAGCCCTAAACCCTAAACCCTACGACCCTGTGGCCCTAAACCCTAAACCCGAAACCCGAAACCCGAAATCGCACGAAATGAGACAAGGCATTCCTGGCGGCATTCCCGGAGGTGGCCTGGGCTTTCAAGTTCGCAGCGTTTCCAAGGCTGCTTCAGTCGCTTCGAGCAGCTTCGCTTGTAAGGGTTTAGGGTTGAGGGTTGAGGGGTTGAGGGGTTGAGGGGTTGCGGGGTTGAGGGGTTGAGGGGTTGAGGGGTTGAGGGGTTGAGGGGTTGAGGGGTTGAGGGGTTGAGGGGTTGAGGGGTTGAGGGGTTGAGGGGTTGAGGGGTTGAGGGGTTGAGGTTGGGGGGTTGAGGGGTTGAGGGGTTGAGGGGGGTTGGGGTTGAGGGGTTGAGGGGTTGAGGGGTTGAGGGGTTGAGGGGTTGAGGGGTTGAGGGGTTGAGGGGTTGAGGGGTTGAGGGGTTGAGGGTTGAGGGTTTAGGGGTATCTGATGCGGAGTTTCAGGGCCTTGGAGCCTTTGTGTCTTTAGGGCTTTAGGGTTCGGGATTGTGTCTAAGCATCATGACCTCACAACTCCACCATTGCGCCCCTGATCCTGCCCAGCGAGCGCCGGCGACATCCATCCCTGCAATTCCTGAGCCTTCATCTCAAAAGTTGAATGTCCAATCCTGCATTCGCCCCCTTCCCGTCCCGGAGCCCCTGAGGACCCGGACCCTTTGCCCTTCCCCTTGGTCAGGCGTGGCTTGGAATTGCGGGGGTTCCGAAGATAGGGGTATCCTTTTGCGGGGTCCCTATTCTCTCAGGGATACCCCTTTTTGGGCTTCGAAGGGTGTAAGGTCTACGCGCGTTGTGGGAGGCTCCAGGATTTGGACTTCAAGGCTGCGAGTTTGCAGGGGGTGGTTTTAGGTTCTCCGGGTGCTTCACGGCTTAAGGAATGTTTCTGTCGATGCTCCGAATGGGTGGGGTGGTTGGGTTGTGTCTTCACGCGCCTGGTTTCGTGAGCATGGTGAGGCATGTGGTTGTCAGTTCCTTCGTGGGTCAAGGTGCTTCTAAAATTGCACGAAGCACCAACACGGCACGGCCAACATCCTCAACCCAGCCCTGTTCCGCCCTTCCAGGCCCCGAAGCGTCACAAGCTCTGGTCACCGAACCCTGAGGGCAACTACGCAGCCCATAATCTTAAAGGCTGACATATCCAGAAGCCACAGCACAAAAACAACACAGAAGCCTTTGGAACCGCGGCGCGCCTTGCCGCCGAACCAATCTCCAGGCGGCGCCTCAAACGGCGGCCGGCCTCCTGAAATGTTTGAGGCGTCGTGTGCTGCCATAGGCCCTTGTGCTTTAGGCCACTAAAAGGCCCAGCAAAGAGTTTTTGCATGTTGCGCTCGGCCAGCTTCATTCGGCAGCGGGCTGGCAAAGCCCTCCCTGCCCTCTGTCTCTGGTTTCTCTTTTCTGCGCTCGGCCTAACAGTCCTCTACCCAAGCCCTCCCTGAAGCATACAGAGCGCGTGCTTTGCCATCATCCTCCCTCCCAGCCATCAAGGAAGCTGCATTCGAGCCGATAGTTGGAACCCTCACTCACGAAGGTACTAAGCAGGGAAAGCAAAGCGGCGGTTGGGACTTCCTGGATAACATCTCCTCGTTCAACATTAAAAAAAGGAAGGACCTAAAGCCCGCAAGTAGCCACTTCGCAAGGCATCCAACGAAGTTTCAGACAGGGAGACCCCAAAGGAGAGTGCGCACATGGGTTTTCTTTCGGGCAAATCTTTGAGCTCTATTTTTGGGGGGATGAAGGCCTGTGGCCAAGCTTTAAGCTTCTTGGAGCTTTGGCTGTACCCTAAACCCAAAACCCAAAACCCAAAACCCTAAACCCTAAACCCTAAACCCTAAACCGGTTGAGGGGGCGGATGTTGAGGGATGCTGGGGGGCTTTGGAGGGCCCTGGGTCGCTCCTTCGAAGGGCGGCCGTGCGTCGAACGGCCCCGGCGGCCTCGTCAGATTCTGGTGCGAGTGCTTCGCCGCTTGGCGTTCCGGGGTTTACAGGGCTCTTGAGGTTGTGAAGCTCTAGAGGCTCGGGTTTCTAGGCGTTCGGGCCACTATGACGGCTTCGCCTTAAACCCAGGGCCCTACACCTTGAGCCTTGGCAGGATGTAGCCTTGAGATTTGATCCGTTTGAGGTAGACCCTCAACCCTAAATCCTAAATCCCAAACCCCATGATAGCCAGCACAAACATCGAACCAATGAGTTTAGGGAGGCCACAGTAGAGCCTTTTCAGCAAGGAACCTCAGGTTTAAGGTTTAGGGCTTAGGGTTATGGGCGTCTAAAGGGCAAAGGGCTTTCAACAGACATCCTCCTACATCCACTGCCGCTGCGCCTCTCGAATGGCGGAAGGTGGGGTGGGGGCCCACCCTCAAAGGGAGGTCGTGCCTCAGGCTGCTAAAGGGTTCAGGGTGGAGCAAAGGTGGCAGCCACGAGAGGTACCAGGACGAGCTCGAGTGCAAGGTTGTGGGTTTAGGGTTTAGGGTTAGGGTTTCCTAAACCCTGAACCCTAAACCCTAAACCCTAAACCCTAAAGCCTAAAGCCTAAAGCCTAAAGCCTAAAGCCTAAAGCCTAAAGCCTAAAGCCTAAAGCCTAAAGCCTAAAGCCTAAACCCCCAAAGCCTAAACCCTACATGTAAGAGTTGGTGTCGGAGCTCAAGAAGCCATCGGCTGTTCGAGCACGCAGGCTCCCGACAGGCATCGTATCTTGCAGGCCAGACCGTGGTAAACCCAATTTGCTTGACTAAATTTGCGCTGCGCAAGGCCAATTTTCCGGAAGGTGTCCGATGGTTTGGATTCCGGCACCTTTGATTGGCCACAACCACGAACCAAAAAAACTCAACTTATGGCGTGCTGCCCCCACCGCCTGCTTCAAGCCACCCGGCTACTCTCAGCTTGCAACATGGTGTGACATCATGGTGTGGGGTGCTCTTATCACACGGGCATGAACAGGGCCGCGGGGGCGCTTGCACTTAAAGCATAAAAACCTGAACCTTGCACTTCACATTAAAGCACAAGTCAAAACATGTGAACGCGTCTGTTTTGAATAAGTGAAGGTCTGAGAGATAAGGGTCGATCACGTGTTTTTTTTGGGGCTCGAAGTTACTTGGAGCATTCTCAAATTTCTCCCCCCAACCCCGAAACCCGCAACTGACGGCAGATTCTTGTTCCAAGCACCATGAACCTACCCCAAAGCAAGCCCAAAGCGGTCATTGCCACAATTCTCTACCCTGACTTCTTCTCCGGGTTCCGGACACCTGGTGGCATGTCAAAAGGCGGGCGCCGCGCATCCAACCTGAATGTCCCAAATCTGGGTATTGGAGGAGCTTGCGGGTGTGTAGTGGAGGAGACCAGCTCACAGCCATCACGCTTGTTGAAAGATGCTTGCGCCGGGCTCCAGTTGAGAACCCCGAAGCCCAAACCCTCACACAACAGTTGGGGGGCTAAGAGGACCAGCACGCTCCGGTTCAAACGAACAGCCTGCACCCTGAACCCTGCACCATCTATCCACAGCACCAAACCATCAACCGGCGTTCCCGGTGCTTACCGCTTAGCCTTGCGCTTTGCTGCAAGGGCCACTTTTCGCTGTCAAGCCATCAAGCAACACGTACGAAGATCTACCCCCGTAGCGCCATCGGCGACGTTTAAATTGATTTTTGAAACGTATTCCATTCGTACTCCATTCCCCGTCAAGTGTAATTGCCGCCAAAGTCAACGCTTCGACCCAACAGGATATGAGTGCTTAATGTGATTCCACGTCTAAAACCCTAAAACCCTAAAACCCTAAAACCCTAAAACCCTAAAACCCTAAAAACCCTAAAGCCCTAAAGCCCTAAAACCCTAAAACCCTAAAACCCTAAAACCCTAAAACCCTAAAACCCTAGAACCCTAAAGCCCTAAAACCCTAAAACCCTAAAACCCTAAAGCCCTAAAACCCTAAACCCTAGAAACCAAGTGCAGCGCCATCCGGGCGGTGGCCGCTCAAACGGGGGCCTCGGCAAAGAGCCCTCGCAAGCCAACCCCGGGTTGAGGGCTTTCGGGGTTGTGCCGTAATCTTATGGTTCACCTGCAGGTCCTAAACCCAAACCCTAAACCCTAAACCCTAAACCGCAAATTAACTCCAACTGTCGACCCTCCGGCATGACTTTGACACGTCGAACCAACTGATTCCCACACCAATGAAGCCCAAACCCCAAAAAGCCTGATTAGTACCCGTACTATAATTCCTATTAAGGACTGTTAAAATAAGGGGGAGCATCCCAATGTACTATGGTATGAGCGTATCGCTGCAGGAGTGTTCCACAGTCAAGACTGCGTCTCGAATTGCAGCCGAGTCCAGGCAAAAAGCAAGCCAACAAGCCTGCAGATTGTAGCGACTCATACCTAAGCCCTAAACCCTAAACCCTAATCCCTAAACTCTACACCCAAAACCCCAAACCCTAAACCCTAAACTCTAAACCCCAAACCCTACAGGCACGCCATGGCAGGCCTTTCTAGCAGGTAGGGCTCGAAAGGTCACCTCCGCTAAGCCCTAAACCCCTGAGCCCCTAAACCCGGAACCCTAAACCCCAAAACCCCTAAACCCCCGAACCTCTAAATCCCCAAAACCTAAACCCTAACATCCCTAACCCCTAAACCCTAACATCCCTAACCACTAAACCCTAACATTCCTAACCCCTAAACCCTTAACCCTACTCTAAACACTAAACCGTACCCTAAACCCTGAACCCTAAACCCTAAATCCTGTAGTGCCCGCCCCTGCTGAAGCCGCTCCCCGAGGTCTGCACCGATAGGGTGGTGGGGGTCCACCCATGAACGGAGGAGGAGGCCTCAGTTCGGAGTTTAAGGTTTAGGGTTTAGGGTTCAGGGTTCAGGGTTAAGGGTTTAGGGTTTGGGGTCTAGGGTTTAGGGTTTAGGGTTTAGGGTTTAGGCTTTAGGGTTTAGGGCTTCATGCAGTTCAGGGTGCTGGGTTGTGGATGGGATCCGGGAACGTTGAGGGCCTTCAAAGGCTAAGGGGCTTCGGTCCAAAATTACCTGTTGTGTTTTTAAGGCTTCTCAGGGTAGTCGCGTACGACAGCCATAAGTACCAGTTTGCAGCTGGCCTTGAAGTGAAGTGCTTGATGCCCGATCTGGAGGGTTTAAGTTCTGAAGCCGTAGGAAGTGACGGGTCTCGAGGCACAGGGCATTTGCAGAGGCATTGCAGGGCTTGTGATGGTTTGCTTTACCGTGTGGCCCCTCGGAGTTATCGAAAGCACGCAACGCTTACATCTATCTGAAGGGCACAACCCTGAAGCATGAAAAGAAAGCCGAGAAGAGGACCCCCTGCCGTCAAAATGCGGAGGTGGCCCTGGGCCTTCAGAGACTGCAATGATTTAGGTCGGGAGCATTTTGGGGTTTTGGGGGGACACCTGTTTCGGAGTGCGGGTTTCGACGCTGCGTTTTCCTTGACTGGTTACATCTGGCCATTGGGAGACTGGACGGGAGAAGTACATTAACCACATGGCGCAGCTGAAGCCAACTAATTTAGGGCCCTTAATGATTAGAATAGGGCTTTGGGGGCTATAAAAAGTACAAGTTCTCAAAGGGACTATCAGGAAAGTAATGATTCCGACCCCTATACTAAGCTGTGCGGGCTGACGTTCCACACATACCTTGATCTGAAACCTGGAATCATTTCAGCCGGCAAGAGCAACTAGACCCGGGAGTACCCTAGGAATAAAAGGGTACCCTTTTTGGTTTTAAGGGGATTGTGAGGGAACCCCAACCCTAAAGAAAGGAAAAAAGGGCCTACTCCCGGTCCTCGGCAATTGCAACATCCCCACTTTCATCAGCTAAGGCATGCCAGGTGTAGCAGCAGCAGCCCGGTCAGAATCCCGCAGCTGGCTAATCAGGAGGAGGGGGGGCTGGGGGTGAGTTTTTGTTCACCCATGCAGCTGTCACTGAAGATGTGGTCCCCGTTATGGTTATGGAAGGTTCGCCGTGCGTGTGCTTCCTTGCAGACACCGTGGAAATAGCCTTCACGTGCCGGAACACACTCTAATCTCAAAAGCGAGAGAACGTCCAAACTCATGGGTGTTTGAGCCCGCTGGGATCTTGCAAGGCTCCGGAAGCTGAGTGAGCCGCCATAGTCGAAGGGTGGCCTGACCGGACTGTAGGCACTGGAGGGCTTATGTGGTACCCCCCAACCCCAGGACCTACCTCCCCATAAAACCGTCCCGGCAAGACTGTTAAGTACATGAGGTGGGACACTGAGAAATGAAGCAGGAGCGAGAAGTTTCTGCGGATACAAGCATGCAATACTGCGTCAGGAGCGTTGCTACCCGCCGCCCCTTCGCCCCCACGGACCACCCTCCCACTGTTGCCACTTCGAGGTTCAGGGTTTGCCAGGAGTCCGGATTCCGGGCTTTAAGGTTTGAACGAGCAACGCCATTGCTGGTGCAGGGCTGGTGTATTTAGCACTCAGACAAAGAGATTCAATCTTTTGCTTGTGCCGTGTTGCTGCGTCCCGCTGAAGCCTAGGGCCTAAGCTTTAGGTCCCTAGGTCCTCAATCCCAGAAGTCGACATTATGTTAGAACTCGACCCTGGCATGTGTTTCACAAGACACTGCAAGAGCTCAACCTCAGCTGCCTTTACACGAAGAGGCTGCGTTACCGCCCCAGAAGATGCCAGACAAAACAAAGGATGTCACAAAACCCTGAGAAGCCTATGTCCCGGTGGCATGCCCGGTGGCCCGTGCATTTCGGCGCCCGGAGGCAAGACCTGGGCGCGTCACTCCCACGTTATGAAGCGAAAGGGCCTTTGCAATTGGGCTCAACCCTAAACCCTAAACCCTTAACCCTAAACCCCTAAACACTCTGGGGCTGACTGGATGAGACCGGCTTCCATGAGCATCACTGTAATCTCCTTGTACCAAAGGCAGCTCGTGATTGCACGAAGGTGCGGGTGTGTTTGATGTCATACGTCCTTCCAGTACTCCCGACTCGTCTGCTTGGCAAAGCCGCTGCGTGTTTACAGCTAGAGGCTTGCAGAAATGCTGGGAGGATGAGGTCACAGTCGCACAAGTCAGGAGGGAGCGAACCGAGACTTACTAGGTGTGGTGCATGTAGCTCTGCTTCGGGTTAAGAGCACCTGTGCTCGTAGCATGAGGCACTTGCATTCTACCTAAGCTTGCCCTGCTTAGCAACAACTAGTTCATAGTTTCTGGGAAGAACGGGAACCCCAAAAAGCAAGAAGCCCTAAACCCTAAACCCTAAACCCTAAACCCTAAACCCTAAACCCTAAACCTTAAACCCTAAACCCTAAACCCTAAACCCTAAACCCTAAACCCTAAACCTAAACCCTAAACCCTAAACCCTAAACCCTAAACCCTAAACCCTAAACCCTAAACCCTAAACCCTAACCCTAACCTCCGCGGAACAGCCATCTTTTCTCCGGCAAATCCTCGACCCGTCTGATCTCGACCTCACTGCGCCGAAGCTGCTCACTCCTCATCCTCCTATCAGAGCCGAAGGTTCAAGCTTCAAGCCCTAACCCCCGAAGCCCGAAGCCCTCAGCCCTAAACCCTAAGCCCCAAGCCCTAAACCCTAAACCCTAGCTAGCAGACAAACTCCCTCGTAGGGTTTGGAGATCAACATCAAGACCGAAATCAAACGAAAACCCTAAAACGCTCACTCGACACAAACCCTAAACCCTAAACTCGAAACCCTAAACCCTGAACCCCAAGCCCACTTTACAAGCTGATGTGTGCGACACGCTGGTCCTCACCCTCGGCCTCCTTCTTCTCGGCAGCCTGCGTGCATGGAGTCGTTGGGAGGTTGGTGGGGGCATTAGCGCCTTTGGGATGTTGTTCTTTATCATTGAGGTTGCTGCTTCGGTCCTTGGACCATGGAAGGCTGGATTCAGTGAGAGGGCACGATGAACTGACTTTCTGCGCTTTGAGGCTTCTGGGTCTCGATTCAGTTGTATCTTGACTCGGCTTGGAAGTCTAGGAACTTGCAGGCAGAGTGGGCAGGATCGAGTCGCAGAGTGAGGTGACCCCGATTGCCCCTGAAAGCATTCCCTCCACCTTGACAGCACGCCACCTGCTTTGGCAAAGGTCCACCCGTAGCCATAACCCTGTTTGGGCACTATGATCAGGGTTACGCCTCATGCGGCGGTAGAAGCAACCCCAGGTGAAGCAAACCCGTAAACCGGACTTTGCGGCACACGGCCTTCTTGGCAGCGTCAGCGGCCGCTCGTGCTTCGAACGCCTTCATGAGGGTCTTGTAGAAAGTCTCATCGCCTGGGCAGATTCCATGATGGCCACAATGCTGAACCCGGGCGGTTAAGGCGGCGGATAAGGGAATTGCTCTGATTTCAGTGAAGAGAAGGTGCGTTGGGTTGTGCCCATGTTCGGGCGGCTTGGGATGGCTTGCTAGCCGATCACAATCTGTTCGCAGTTGCTCCAGTGCTGCTCCTGTCGATGCTATGGGGTGCCAAGCTGGTGTGAAACCCCAAGCCTGTGACTCTGTATGGGCTTCCTCCAAGCAACCGCAACCTGCTGCAACCCCTTTGAAGTACTCTCTGGATCTGAACCCTACCACCAACGTTTCGACTGGGGAAGGTGCCCTTCTTGTTGTCCTTGTTGTACTTCTTGGACTCCTCAACGCGGGCCTTCTTCTGCTTCTGCACCTGAGCTGAGGTTCTGGGAGCCTGTACTTACCTTGAAAGGCCCAGATTTAGTTCCAAGCTCTCCCAACGTACTTCCAAGGATGCTCGGGGCTAATTTCCCCGCATTTGCTGTTACAAAATGTGCCGCGACCACTCCGCCACCACCCCTCCGCTTAACCGCTCACCCCTACCCCGCCTAATCGCTCACCTGGAAGGTGAACAGGGGGTGACACGGGTGTGGACTTAGCGAAGACCCCAATGCACAAATTCCCTGAAGCCAGAACTCGGAACCCCTCTGAGAATTACAGCTCAAAAGCAACTAATTACGCTCTAACCGAATTACACTCTAAACGTAAACCCTAAACTTGCTAAACCCTCAACCCTAAACCCTAACCGTCGAAAATGTCGACTAGATGTGCCTTTAAAAGCATGCAGCCAATCTTTAAAAAAAAAAAAAAAGGACGCCCTCTCTCGGCACCCCGCCTCGTTGAACTCCGCCGTGCCCTTCTCGGAGCCTCAGGTGTTTTGGGGGAATTTCGCTTCAGGGCTCAGAACTTCAAAGTTCAGAGAGCGGCCTTCAAGAGTGGCCTTTCAGGGTGGCTTTCAGAGTGGCTTCAGGGTGGCTTTGCAGTGGCTATGCAGTGTCTGTAAAGTGGTTTAAAGTGGCTTCAAAGTAGCATTCGAGTGTCTTTGGAGTGGCTTTAGTAGCTTTGCAGCAGGGTTTAGATTCTGTAGCGATGGAACTTTCGCAGTGCTCCAGCAGCACGCCATCGAAGCAAGCATCTCACACCTTAACACAAACCTAAAACCTCAACGCCTGCACAGCCGAAACCTAAGCTCCGGATCTCATGCTTGCAGCCTTCGACCTCTGAGCTTTGAGTCCGGGATACGTCACTACACAGGGTCCGGTTAAGAGCAGTGCTGACCACAAAGCCGCAACACTCACAAGTCCTAAATCTCTGTTGACAATGCCCTTACAGAAACTGTTAAGCTCCGAGTTTCCAATTTTCCCATACAAGTTCTGCCTCCTAGGCCTTCCTGCCGGACCTACACACCCCACCCGCTTCCAGGTGTTGCCCAGTAGCTCTTGCCGGCCTTGGCCTTTCGCTCCGTGGAGCCTGGTTTAGGGTTGGCGGGCTTCGGCTTGTTCTTATGTGAGGGTTTCGGGGCTTGGAGGTCGACGCCGGAAGCGCGCCTTTGGGATTGGGTCAAGCCCCGGCGCCAGTCAGAACCGGAGCCAAACAAAACGGTTTGGAAATCAGGAAAGCTGGCTTCCCGAAGTCGTCTGTCTGTTCTTTGCTGATTTCATTCTGTGTGTTTCAGAATCCCTCTTCGCCGCCTATGATTCCCGGTCCCTGTCCCTGCTCGATTGATATGTCTCGGCTGTCCCACCTTTTGCGATCGCATGGAGTCCTGTTGATGCCTCTGGGAACAAAACAAAACCGAAGCCGGTAACTCCTGAACCGGCTGGAAAGGAAGCGCCGGCGGATGAAAACTCGAAGCCCGGGAAACCCGAGCCTCTGGCTTACAAAGCAATCACAAGCCCCACTCTAAGCTCCGTCCAACACGCAGTCACCTGCAGGCGTGGTCCGTAAGCTTATCCTTCAACCTCAACCCTAAACCCTTAATTGCCTACATCTATCGTCTCCCTCCATGGCCTGGGTTCAGCTCCTCCATGACCTCCTTGCTCTTCAGGGCATTCCTGCACAAACAATTCCAAGAGGATTTAGGGTTTAGGGTTTAGGGTTTAGGGTTTAGGGTTTAGGGTTTAGGGTTTAGGGTTTAGGGTTTAGGGTTTAGGGTTTAGGGTTTAGGGTTTAGAGTCCGCCGACCCTGGCGGCGTGTTGGATGGGAAAAGGAGGTGAAAACCTCCCTCTTTCCCTCCTTACCCTCCAAAAACCCGGGGGGGGGGTAGGGGGGGGTACCCCGCCAGCTTTTCCGTGGAGGAACAGGCCACCCACACCGCGTAAACTCATGGACCATAGGCGTTTTCGCACAGGGCATAGGGGCTCTTTACCCCCCCCCCCCCCCCCCCCCCCCCCCCCCCCCCCCCCCCCCCCCCCCCCCCTACCCCCCCTAGGCTGCCCTCCTTCAAGCTGGCTTCAGCTCCTGTTTGGGTCCTGGTGCTACCCCCTACCCCCCCCCCCAACGTTTCACAGAGGCTCAAGCAAATCAACTTTTGGCATCCTTTGAGCTGACGAGCGCGTTTAAACCTTTCAACTATGCTCCAGCGGGGTCGGCGGCTTGAGCCGGAGGCTCTTAAATTTAGGGTTTAGGGTTTAGGGTTTAGGGTTTAGGGTTTAGGGTTTAGGGTTTAGGGTTTAGGGTTTAGGGTTTAGGGTTTAGGGTTTAGGGTTTAGGGTTTAGGGTTTAGGGTTTAGGGTTTAGGGTTTAGGGTTTAGGGTTTAGGGTACAAGAAACATCGCATCTAGGGTTTATGCTCCACCCGACTACAGCTACAGCTCCCCCAATCCTTAAGCGCCCAATCCTAAAACCCTAAACCCTAAACCCTGAACCTTCAAAACTCCCAGCAAGCTCTGCAGAGTCTCAGGAAGCAACCCCCCCCCCCCGGCCACAGCGTGGAAGTTTGAGGATTCTGGTTTCTGGTGCTTTTGGCCCAAACTCTCCAACGTCCGGTACAAAACCCCCAACGCCTAAACTCCTAAACTCCTAAACTCCGAAACTCCTAAACTCCTAAACTCCGAAACCCTGAGATCCCACCGGCCTCTTCTTGCTGAAGGTCGGGGGCTCAATCTTCGCGCGGAGGACGGACTGCACCTGCAGCCCAGAGCACTTGCAAATAACACCGCGCATGGCAAGACGTGGCACTCTTGAGAGTTGATCTAAGGTGCTTACGACGCTCGGGAGTCTTAAGGAGGCGGAGGTGAAGGTTCGGGCGGCTATCCTTGTAGTTCGGGGGCCCCAAGGGACTGGACTTCACATTTCCGTGCAGAAACAAAAGGAGCACCTTTCTGCGGAAACCAACCCTAAAGGCCCTAAAGCCCTAACACAATTCTGCAAAAAAAGCCCCTCGGCCGTGGCACCTCGGTGCTGTTGATGATTCGGGCCAGATCCGCGTTCGCCATGGCGGCCCGGGGCAGGGTGTAGCC